GTTACATTGCAAGCAAGAACAATTTAAAATTTATTCCCTCTTTGTAAATGTGTGTTAGCTAGTATTTCAAAGATCCACTACAATGAAATACGTAACAAAGCAGTAGTCAAAAATTTCTTATATTTTCTGATTTTGGCTGTGCAATTTTATGATTTAATAATTAATTCTAAAAGACACAGCAACTACGTATACAATGAGCTGAAGGAGTTCCCAAGGTGTAACAAGCCAACATTTAGTATACGCAAAAAGTGGGAAACGTTACAATGTAAAGATTTTGTCTCTCATTCATAACACAATCCCAAACAAGAACAAACAAAATAAATGTAAAGAAAGGGTGCAAAACCCCTACATGGTCAGAATCTAGTTTGCTTTTTCTACAGCCTCGCTGGTAGCAAATGATCACTATCACAGAGCTGTTTCTCTTCTGCAAGTTCCCGGTGCTCATCACTCTTGTTTTAAACTATTATCTTTTGATGTATGAAGCAAAACATAACTATCTCCTCAGGCAATTTTTAACCAAAACCTTGCCAATAAGTGGTTCAGGTTAAGGTTTCTTCAGTGTACCAGAGGTTTTTTTTTATTTAATCTCATTCAAAGTGTTCACATTTTCCAATCAATGCTAGAACTGGCTGTGGCAGGTGCCTTTTTTCTTTTTTTTTTTTTTTTAAGCTCATATTTAATCCCTGAGTATCATGATATGGAAGTCAGAGTTCTAGAAAAACATGTGAAAGTTTTCATCAAGGACGATCAATTCCACCCTACAGGAAAGGCGAACCAGAGCCTGTTTTACCATTATAAAATTATTTATTTTTTCTTTTCTGTCTGCAATAAGATATACAATGATTCGCATAGAAAGAAAATTCAGGAATACTCTTGCAAATGCAAAAGACCAAGAGACTTAAATTTCAGAGACTCAGAATTCATCTCTACCACCTCAGTCTCCAAATCATACACCTGGAATATTCTGATTCTTTCATATTTAACATACTCCTGTAATTATAGCTTGGGATCATTAATTTAATGACTGTGTACAGCTATTTCACACTGATTTATCTCCTGCTGATCAATACTTCAGAAAGAGAATCTTCATTTAGGGGTTTGGATGCAGCTGCATTCCCTCCCTTTTGGGGGATAGAGCATCTGCCTCTCTTTGAAAACAACATAGACAGCTTTATACTCTTTTCTGTTTGACAAATGTAAAGTAGGTATATAATGCCATGGCCACACAATTACTAGGTTTAAAGCCACAAGGAAATAGTTCATGTCCATTCTTTTCTTTCCCCCCTCACATCATGTCACTTGCAGATTGTGTTTCCTACTTGCAATGTCTCATCCCTCCTTCATGAAAACCCTGAATTTTTTTTTTTAAATTTGACATTTTAATTAAGTAGGAACATTGTTTTCATTCGATAGTATGAAGAAGCTTTACTAAGAAATCTAAAGCATGTGGTTTCACTATGAACTGGAAATTCATCCACCCTGATTTGCAAATCATCAGTGATTGAACATTTCATATCAAATCAGAGAAAAAAATGCTTCCATATGCTTATAAACAATAAGATGACAGACACAGTTTCAGTCATAAGATGATGGGAAAGAGAATGTAGAGAATGTAAACATGAGCAAAATACCCAAAAGTTCTGAACACTTGTTAAACAAAACTACATCATTTCATACATCTCGGAATAAGCCTTTTACTAAGTAGGCTTAGGACTACTGTGTCTAAATTCTATATAATTTTATGCTGAGGGTCCAGATAGATTATTGTGTACAATTCTAAGGAATATAAATAAAAATGAACTCTCAACTTGTCTGCAGGAATAGCATAATTGAAAAAAGATGATGCACAATGAAAATTTTAATAAGAAACAGGTAGAGATTGAGTGGAATTGGAGAAAGAAGTGAAACTTCAGAATAACTGTCTTGTAAGGTATCAAGAAAATTCTAGGAAGACAATCTGATAAGAGAGCAATTTAACCACTATTAGTGAAGACAGTTTAGGCATTAGTAAAAGCCCTATAAAGTTTTCCTTAAATTTTCTATACAATATATCGAAGTGTTTGAACAGGCCACTTGGAGAAATGAATTTCTTGTTGTTGTTGAACCCTTCAGAACAGATTCAGAAAACAGCCACCAAGAATTTTCACAAAATATTTATTCTTCCTCAGAGAATGAGGAAGATGGATGAGATGAGGTTCAGCACTAAATTTCTATTTTTCTACATTATTTATCAGACTAAATCTATTAAATTGCATACATATGTTGCTTAAAATGGCCTGTATAGATACTGTTCTATAGTCAGTCAGTGCTTAATTGTTGCCCTTGAGTCTAATTTGCCTTCAAACAATTTGCAGGCTGTTGCTAAACTTTATAAAGAGAAAGATCAGCCGCGTGCATGAAAACAGTTGGCAATGACTTGCATAGAGAGGCCAATGGGACTGGATATCCAAAGCTTTCAGAGTGCTGCATTGCACCCCCAAGTTGTACAATTACCACTGGCATAAGCAAGAACCATATCATATCCCCAAATGTCTGTGACTGAATTTGGCACCTCTAATTCCCCAGCCATATTTAATTTAGCTATTTAAAATATGTTTGCGTGTTTGTGGGAGACAATGTGATTTGTTTATTTTAAAGCCAAATTGTGCCCTGGGTGTGCTACAAGGATAAAGAAAAAGAAGTTTGGCTGCATTATATAAAGAAACAACAGTAAAATCAGATTTTAAAGTCTCATTTTTCTCAGAGGAAATGGTGGAGAACAAACTACACTTCTCTAAAGGTCTCTACTCCATGGCAAGTACAAAGGTAACAAAAAAGTACATTAAAAAATACCTGTCCAACCAAGAATTTTAACAGCTGTGCTATTTATAGGATCAAGACCCTGCAGCTTAATGATTTATGAAGATTGACCGTACCTGCTGACTTGCAGAGTCAGGCAAGAGTAAATGAGCCATGAGGAGGTTGTAAAAGGCAGAGCAAAGCCCCTGCAGGCCCAGCTCATGGCAGCCACTTACTGCACGTTCAGCCTTTGCAATGGGCTTCAGAACTCAAACCTGCTGCAGCATGGCTGCAACCACTGAAAACAATGTTTTTCCAGCCCAAGCGTACTGTGTCGGTATTGGTCACCAGGATGTTGGTCCTTATGCAACACTTTAATACTCTAGCACATGCCCCTCTACTCTAGCACATCCCCCTCTTTGAGGCATTACACCTGTTGATCATTTTAACACTCAATAGCTATGCAAAACAGAAGCCACAGCCCCAATGGTATCTTGACCCGAGTACAGAGTGTGGGTGCAGGTTTTCCCCATGAAAGACGTCACAACCCATAATTCATGATTTGAAAGTGGCACTCAAAGGCTTGAAAATATGCTGGTTTACAGTCTTTGAGGCATGGGGGGGAAAACATATGTCTGTCTTGGTCAACTTTCATTTCTTTCTACCCTGGTTATACTGCAAAGTCTTGCTAACACAAATGAAGCTCTTTGCTTCATGTGGTGCATTCATGTGCTTTGTTCTGGCTATTATTTGAGCAGTAAATAGGTCTCCTCATGGAGGCAGAGGCTTATGCCAGTAGTCCAAAAGTAGCATTTAGTCCCTTGCAAATTCCCTTAAGGAATTTTCACTGATTTCTGTTCCACTAGGCAATTCATTGAATAACATATTCTCCATCTGAGCACAGGATATACATAACTGAGTGGCATGCAAGTTACTGTACGCACAGTTTTTTCTTACTTTGCCCAGGGGTTTAGACACCATTAGAATCTTCACATTATAATAAAAATACAGTGCAAACCTTTGAACTAAACTTCTTTTTTTTTTCCCCTCTAGTTACTAGCACCTAGCCATGATACAAGGGTCATCGGTATTTATCACTGTAAGCATTCATTGAATACTTAAACAAGAACCTTAAATCTATATCAACACAAGCAGAACCAGCAGGCACTATCTGAATGAACCTCAGTTAACTGTGCTAATGCGGGACGAGCACAATGGGTACTGTGCGCGCCACGGAAATACAAACTTAATTATGTATAAGATTTGAAACTCTCATCTGCCAGTTACAATATTGATTCCAGATTGCAGTCCATACAATAAAGCTAATTAAACAATCTTCCCTCCACTGAGATCCATGGAGCTTTTTTTTGATCTATCTAGAATTTCCATTTGCATCCCACTGCTGACTTCAAAATTCCTCTGTACTTCAGCAAAGCTTAGTGAGTTTCCCACTATCTTCTAGCTATAAATCATTATTAAAATTAGCATCAATATTATTACCCATATAACCAATATCATTCAACAATATTTCTAAGTTTGGAAAAATTAAATAACAAACAATATGCCATCTGAGAATCAACAAACAACAAACCTACATAATTTCTACCTACTTTCATAAATATGATGTGTAGCCTCAATTTTTAGAATTCCTTTCATGCAGCGTGATCTTGAAATAACTAGAAATACTATTTTGTGAATCATTGCTCTGGATTCTGATCCTTTTAATAATGATAAACAACATTTCATCCCACTGAATGTGTTCGTTAAGTAAAGTACTACTGAGCATCAATAAAACAGCGGAATCTAATTTATGACTGATAAAACAGTCATTACAGCTGTGGCAAACACTTCTCACAGGCATAATCTACATCTGAATGGACAAAAATATCTAGGCAAAGAAATACAAAAAGCAAAATGTGAATATAACAGTTTTCATATTCACTTTGGATAACAAATTCAAGTGTCCTAGTGTTCACATAATTGATGCTTGTGTTTAACTGTAAGAATATGGGAAGACGGCTGAAGTGAAGGTACAAAAGCCTTAACTTCTTGAAGAGGTTGCATAGAATATAAATGCTATGTTGTTCTCATGTCAACATCCACAAATATTTACGCTTACCTAAGCATAGCCTGCATTCTGCTGTGCAAATAACATCTCCCTTTGAGCCAAGCATACATTAAAGAAGACTCCTAGAGGTACAGATCAGGGAAAGTTCTCTCACCTGAAAAGTTCCTGCATGGTCATCTTCCTTGTCACCTTCTTTTCCTTCCTTGAGAGCAATCAATGTGAATCCTCGAAAGTAAGCAGGAGTGGCAGCAGAAAGTGTCACTGAGATATAAGAAACAGAGAAATAATGAAAACATAATATTAATTGTGAAACCAGCCACTCGCATATCATTTCGCAGTTCAGCTTGAAAGGTATGCTATTTGAGTTGCTATTAACAAAAGATAGACCACTAACAATATGGAGCAGAGCCAGCCAGAATACAAATATGTTCGATCCAAGTTTCCACATAAACTGAAAAACACTGGCATGATTTAAAATACCCCAGCTATTTTTTTTTCAAACACACACACACTTTTTTTTTTTTTTTTTTAAAGCAGATCGCTAATCTGTTCAGATCTACAGGAGGGTTATTTTGGTGTGGTGGCTGGGGGGCCGGGACACACACACTTGGGGGTTTTGTGTTGTTTCTTTTTGGTTTTGTTTTTTTTAAATGTGAGGGAACATCTCCTGAATATTTGGCTTCAGGTTTTGTCTGGCTCTGAGCATAGGCAAGGATCTAGACATTTTAGTACACAGAAAGTTTCTTTAACTGTAAAGCAAGATGACCATATTGCCTGCTCCAGCTCAACTGCACTCAACACGGTACTCCAGCTGATGGAGGTGGTCACTCTAAAACCATCCTTCCTCTCGTCCAAAAAGCGGATTCATAGCCCAGTGAGCGATAAGTCAGTTGTCACAGGCTCAGGAGAGACATTGCTTATTTATTTCAGGTTTGCGCAATCCTGGGTGCTAGGCAGTTTCCCACAAATCAAGCACACCTTGGTTAACACACAGCAGCATTTTATACACTCAGAGCAACAGTTAGCCATTATTTCTCAATCGTGTTTAATCGCTTTAGTTTCTTATTGGTTCCCGCGGGTGCCATCTGCGCTTAAAGGTACAGCATCCTTCCTTTGTACTATGCATGCTCTATGAGGAAGGGTCTTCACCTGGGCAAGGGTCCTTTGACTTGGGGGTGTAATTTTTAGTATAATAATGAGGGTAGTTCAGTTAAGGATACATGGACCTCAGGCTTACTTGCCAAGTTTTGGATGTTTTCAAAACATCTGGATTAGCTGTCTTTTCCAGGCCTGCTTGCTCCAGGATGTCCTTGTTGTAAGAATGCTAACTATATTTTTCTGATTACAGATGATTAAATGTTCTTCTTATTGTTTATCAAACTCTCTAAAGTTCTGAGTTAGCCCTCAACACTCTCCCTTAACCTCAGGGCAGAACAGGACACAAAGTTAAACTCATGGCTAAAGCTGACCTTTAGAGATTGTGCTGCCAGTTCCAATTGCCAAAGCATCAGCAAAACCACCCTTCTTCACACACCAGTCCCGACCTGGAAGGTGTCATTGGATCCACCAGCAGAGAACAAATAACATAACGATGACTAATCTGATTTTACTATGCTCAGCATCAGGATTACATCCCTCATTTTCTGCTAGTGCCACATACCTTTTCCTGATTTTTCTATTTGCCATCATCAGTCCCTAAGCACCGCCCAGCAACACTTGAGTTACAGTAGCTGTGGCTCTTTTGAACACTATCAGAAAGATGGAATAAGGCAGATGTTTGAGGCAGGACTTTTTGGGGAGTTTTAAAATTACAGAAGCCTTTTCAAACACCTTATGGGAATATTTTTCTGAAACAGGTAAATGTTAGGGAACAATTCCTTTTGAATTAAAGGAAAAGAGGCAGAAAACTGGACTACCAATACTTTTAGGTAGCTTTTACTTTAAGCATAATGCAGACGACGTTGCTTGTAGAACACTATTGTCACACTCTCAAACCCTGACTGGCACAATAAAAACTGAAGACCACCCAGAGTTTTCATAAGCAAACCACAGCTACCAATGCTGTTTCATAGAAGAGTATTCACAAGAGACTCCCTCTCACACAAATAGGCCATGAGGGGCTGAAACACACTGCTAAAAATGACAGATTGCCCTTAAAAGATATGGATTTCAGAACATGCCCAGAGTTCATTTGGAATGCAGGGAGACCTCTTTGATCTAGAAATTCAATAGTGGAAAAATATAAAATAGGATATTTTAAGATTTCTAGTATTATACAGCTGTATTTGGGTCTAAAAAACACGGTGTTTGTACCAATACAAAACTTTTCTGACTATATGTGAAAAAAGGAAAATTGGAGATATACACAAAAGGTTAAAAATTGAGATGAAAGTGCCATGCTTAGACCTGTCCACCTGCAAACACCTGTAGAAATCTAGAGTAGTGATGGGCACAATAGCAAGCCCCCCAACTCTCAAGATTTTCAGCACGTTTTTCATTCCATTGAACCTTATTATGAAGTTAAACGTCACCATTTTTGAGGAGAAAAACTTTCACATTTTATGTACAGGAACTGAGTAGTAGCATAATAGCATTAAAATGTCTGATTATATTTCTAAGTATTGTTCTAATTCATTAATTCATTATCTGCCCAATAATTAGTATTATTAGCCCAATTTTGCAAACTTTTGCAGCTCTATGTAAATGAAAATCCACAGCCAGACTCTCCATTGCAGTAATTGAGAACAGCACACTGCTGAACTCAGCAAGGATGAACACATTACACTTGCTTGAACGCTGATTCTTAGAATCTAATTGCCATAAATGTCTTTTACATGCAACAAATTTTTCCATATATTATATGCAATTCAAAAGTCTGAATCACTACAAGTAAAAGGTTACACCAGAAATACTTAAATACTTATGCAAGCAAACAGAGAATCCAGCTGTGAATTGACTCAACAGTTTTTGTCATTTTCCTCACAAATTTACAGATCAAACCAAACAGTTTTCAAAATTCTAAAGAAAACACCTACCTATAAAATAGAGGACATGTGAAATGCTACAAAAGCCATCAGAAAAAAAAGAAAGAAAAAAAAACAAAAGAGGCATAAGATAATTCCAAAGCCTGACTCATAGTTTTTGAATGCCTGGGGTTAGCAATACTCATGCTGCGGTTGCACAGTCATTTTAACCCAGAATAAATCCATGCTTCCTCCAACACGAGTGATCCTGCCCTCCCCCACCCCACACTGCTCGCACAGCAGCCGCATCCACACAGCTGTGCCGTCAGCTGAACTGGGGAACACATCCAGCTGAAAAGTAAAAACAAACAAAAAAAAAACCCAACCAGAGGGTTCAGCTGGGTCCAAGCCCCGAGTGGTCACACTGTGCAGCCCCAGGAGTACTTTTGCCAGTGGTGGGGACACCCAGATACAAGTGAGAGGCCAGGAGGGTGATGACCCGCAGGAACAGAGTGGACTCACGTGGGATTTAAGTGTCCATGCAACCTCAGCTTAAGGATACCAAGATGAATGTGTGCTTTGGTCACCCCCAAGCTAGGCCAGAACAAATGCTACCATCTGAGTTGAAAAGACTTCTGTCATTCTCTGTCAGTGTACTAACATCACATTGCAGTGCAAGGCTTTATTTGACACATTCCTAAATACAAAGCCTTGTTACAGTGATGATTCTGTAGTCACTGGCTCTGGACTGATTGCTTCAGCACAGAAGGTGGCGGCTTGCATTGCACAGGCAGCAGTGGGAAGCTGTCAAGACTACAGCTGGTTTTCACAAGAGATAGCGGCTCCTGGTTGTGTAAGAGTTGAGCATTCTTCTTGGGCTAAACTGCCATTTTAAAGAACAGCTGAGTATTGCTTACACTGTGTTCACATTCATTAACTTTCACTGAACAATATGAACTTCCCTTAAAGATCAGTTAAATCTCAGTGTGAGTCTCAAAGTCAAGGATTTTACTTTAAGAGGAAGATTACACATCAACAGTTAGTTTTGTCTGTTTCCATCCCCTCTGGCAAATCTCTGATTACCTTACAAATTGCACTTTGGCACACACCTTCAAAACATTCCTCTTTCCCCAGTGTCCCCAGCTAAAGGTGGGGTGATCAAAGAAATTGCCCCTTTGGTTTTGGGCAGGAAATCTGACTTTCCACATCCTACGTTACAGCACATCCCATGTTGCACCTTGCACAGGTACCAACAAATACACTTTTAATATCTACTTTTATCCATAATTTGTGAAATATGAGAATCACTAAAATACTTGCATGTGGGTTTCTTTGTAAAGTACAGAAAAGAGCATTTGCATTTTGGAGGGAAGAAAGAAATGGAAAGAAAAAGACTCCACATTCCTTAGAAGTCCTCAAACTAATGCAATGGAGTGTGTAACATTAACCGAGCCTGTCCTTGAAAACTGAGAAGGTGAACAGACTTACAAGTGGAAATTCTGTTAGAAACAGCATCTACATAGAAGGTGTATATACGTATATATATAAGGACTATACTAGTCAAATCCTCATTTTCTTCATCAGAATAACAATCTCAGAAAATTATGGAGGAAACGATGTACATTGCATGTTAGCATCTGAAATGGACATACTACCACCTTTTTTTAGAAACAATTTCATTTATATTTTTGATAGAATAAAACACCCAATTTTTCATGGAAATCTCATGCAGTCATTAATCTAACTCTACAGATCAATAAAGCTAGGACTAAGTACTTTCAAGGATCATTACCCCATAACACCATCTAAACTTAAGGCTCATTTGTGCCCTTTGAATGCAATGGGAACTTTGACCTTCAGTGGAAGCAAAACCAGCTACATCAAGGTCTAAGTTAACCAGCAGGCAGAACAGGACCTCAGCCCCAGCGTGGTGTGCCCACAAACCTGGTACTATGGAAGACCTGCCTGCCACGTGCATTTGGCTGTGTGCTCCACAAGGGGAGAGGGAACAATATTGCGGCCTGAAAGACCAGGCTGATGAAGGCCACTTGCAGGCTGACAGCATCAAGAGTCCCAAATGAGATGTTAGAAATCAGTCGTGTCACCTCCCTCCCCTATGGGAGATTACAAAGCCCACAGCCATCGTTGCTTTGTTAGACATCAGGGAAGAAAGGAGGATGGCTCCTCAGCCCTGCTGGTACCTCATTTTTAATTGTCTGAAACAGGTGAAAGTGTCCTTATTTACTGCTGCCAGTATTCGCAGACCAGAGGAGGTACATATACATTCGAAGTGTTATTTGGTGCTCAGGGCCATTTTCCTCTATCACAGCTCTAGAGGTAGAAAACCAAGGCTTCCATACACACAGATCCACTCAGAATTTCCCCTTAGGGCAAATAGATCCTGGCTGATCTAAAGGTGAGTAACTGCAGGAAAGCCATAAAAACTTTTCCAGAGACAAATGGCAGCTGTGAATTGTGGTCTTCTGATTCCTACACTGCAAGAGTGCTGCAGTGTTTCCTCCAGTCATTGTAGCTTGAGGGTCTTATGTGGGTGTCAGGTCAACCAGCGATTGAGAGAGACACAAACATAAATGGATGCCTCCACATCGTCATTTGGGTGGAGTACATCATTTATATGTACAGTTAATTCCTGTGCTATCCACCTTGCACAAATACTAGTTTATTCCAGGAGCCTGCTAGGGAACGTGCCAAGGATCCAGACTGCATTTAATCAAACAAGGGCCGTGGACACAGGCACATTTGGCTCCAACACAACAGAGGTTGTGCAAATCTTCCGCAGTGTTGTACATCTAGTAATTTACAGATTAAAAAAACTCAGACCTACTGTAATCCCTCATTAGTTGGATTTTCTACCCTTTGTATAAAAGAGTAATAAAGTTCCAGTTGTACCGCAGAATTTCCTTTGAAAATGAGCTCTTGAAACTTTCTGTAATGCTGTTGGTTTTAACTATTGCCATAGATATTGTATATGTTACGGTAACATTTACTCATGTTCTTCCAACCATTCAGAAAGTGTCCTTAAAGGGCTATCTAGATAAGTTTATGTGCTACTTGAATATTTCAGTCTTAAAATACCTAAAACTTGGGCGCATATTTTGGTCTACATTTTAACTTTTTGCTGTTAGCTGTAATTTTCTTCCAAGAAGCTACAATACAGTGTGATTTTATTAACCGAGTTCCTAACGCCAAGACCTAATATCTCCAGAAAATTAGTTCTGCTAATTCATCTGGGAAGTTTCTTTCTCCCTACATTTCCATGCAACAGAAACTTCTTTGGTAGAGGACTGAAAATATCCAATAATGCTTTTACAGAAGTAAATTCTAAAACTTTTTAAGAACATTCACATTTGTCACTGTCAAAGAACTTGACGCTTATCTTTATCCTGCTTAGCAGACGTATCAAACTGACATGCAACATGAAATCTTTTAGACTCAATACTAATGTCTGGAACGGTTAACCAAGTTGTGGGAAGTGTGCATTTCCTCACACCACATCAAAATAAACCACTTCTCAAAGAAAAAAAAAATTAATCAAAAATCATGCAAAGTTACAGGCTGATGCTCAAAACAGGTTAATTGCTGCTGCAGATGTATTTTTCAACCTTTAAGATAACATGATGATTATGCTATGTGCCCACTGTTTTCTCCCTACCTATCCTAAGATTCCCATGTTAATGCAATGGGAAAACATTGCTTTTTACACTGAATCTAAGGAAGGTCAGAAGAAACACTTAGAAGCAGCTCTCAAAATCTGTTTTCCAAAGTGATGCCTACAAAGTACATTAGTACCTAAAAATGCTCAAATTCTTTTAAAGTGCTTTTAAAATACAAAGTTAGCAGTATACTCCAAGAAGGTCTGTTTCTAAAGGCATTATATGGTGATGCAGAAGAAGTGACCAAAAACTGCTTTTGCCTATTAATTAGAAAGATATGCTGAAATGTGCTTAGGAAGTTCATTTCAAGGATTGTATGTGAAATGCTCAGCGGAGAACGAATGCCTCCATCTCTTATTTACAGCGGTCATTAGCAGCGTCTCTGCTTCTTTCCTGTTTGAACCATCTGTTCA